TGTAAACATTTATAGTAAATTTTATAGAAAATTCAAAAATGTATACATATTATAGTATTTGATATACCAGAATCAAGAAATTTGCGGTAAGACGGACTGCGCCCAATCAGCCGTCCATTTTATTAAACAGCTCCGAAGTCAACGGTGTAGGGTAGTTAGAGTCTCCAGAGTCTCTAGAATGGTTCTTCCACGTTTAAATTCAGCACTACATTTCGAGTTTCTCCATTTTGCATAAGAATCAAATTGACGCCAAATGTTATTTTGAAAAAAAAAAAACATTGGGTAAAGTTTTTAATTCAGTTATTTCTGTCCTTGGCTACTAACGAATTTAAGATCCGAAAAAAATTCACGTTCAAGATCACATCATATCAAAACTTAGAAAATGACTATCAACTGTAATTGATAGGTCGGCTTTCAATGCTAAAGGATCTAGTATTAGAAAATAGTTTTCAGGTACATTACTCGTAGTTTCAAAGTTTTGTTGAATTTGTTCCATAAATCTGAAAAATAAATCACAAAGTCAATCTGATATTTTACACCTTTGTCAATTAACAAAATAATAGATATATATGGCAAAACAAAGTTCGCATGTCTATGAATTGCGTGGAAATAAAATCTTATAATTATTGTTCTTCTGTGCATTTTTTATTTCCCAAGGTACCTTTTCTCAGAGCGTGGTATTGATGCACTGTAGTCAATAAAGTCTGTTATATATTTATTTACATAGACTTACTAAAATAACTTATTCACATCTTCGGCTACAATAACGGTCATACTATACGCTTATACTGTTACAAAATCTTCATGTAAATAAATTTTCGGAAACAATAATGGTCGTACTGATTTACTTAGAATATTATACTGTGGTCACCAGATGTTTTTTGTTTCTAAAATTTGATATCATTTTATACGACATTGTCCTAAGCGCGGCGACCGTATACTAACTTCACACAGATCCAACCGTAATGACGTCCGGCTGGACACCATAGATAAGCTAATTGGCTGGACACTAAGCGCGAGGCGCGCGTCTCTGCGTGAGCCTTTTACTATTTTAATTTTCAATTGTTAAGCAAACTATATATTTTCAAAAAAATATCCATTAAAGTCACTTTATAATACGAGTACCTTTAAGTTATTTTACAATTTCAATATAATTTCGTGCTGTAATTACGATATAAAATGAAAAAAAGGTTTTAAAATCAAAACTGTTTCGGATTTTTTTCGATCGAGCAAAGTACAATGTATCGTGTTTTTAACACTTAATATCACTCAATAAAAGATGTACCTATGACATATATTTTCTGGACTTAAATATAGTAATTTGACTATTAAAAGTTAATTTTACAAGATCCAATTATGGGATAACCCATCGTTAAAAAATGTATTGACCGTGCCAGATTTTATTCTAAATTCTATTTACACCTGTCGTTGCCGGTGATTTCCCAAAGGAACCCTTTGTTAAGCTGTAACCTTAACGCATATTTCATTGGGTAGATAAACCTACTAAGAATTATGGGCACTCAATAAAATACGGTTGTATATATGAATTTAAATACTACTAATGCAGTACATGGGCCTCTCCCGTTGTAGGGATAATTTAATGATTTCTTATATTTACGCGAACACTACACATTGAATAAAACCATTTTTACGGATTTTATCGCGTTTAATTAACTTATTTTATATTCCCGACGTTTCGGTTGCTTTCCAGCAACCGTGGTCACGGGGGACTGAGGTGATTTTAAAAAGGAGTACGCTCTTTTCTTGAAGGTCCCTAAGTCGTATCGGTCCAGAAAAATCGCTGATGGTAATCGATTCCATAAGGAAGTCGTGCGAGGAAGAAAACATCTTCTAAATCGCACAGTGGTGGACTGCCAATCATCCAGATGGTGTGGATGGTATCGGGAGTTCTGCCGTGATGTGCGTTTGTGAAATTTGGCGGCTGGGATTAATCCGAACAATTCCTCAGAGCACTCCCCATGGTAAATGCGAAATAAAATGCAAAGGGATGCAACATCTCTTCGCAGTGCTGTTCATGTTCATGTTCTGCTGGCATGTTGTTTTCCTCTAGTTTGCTAGTTACAATTGAGATGCAGTCTTCAACAGGTAGGCATGTAAATAGAGACTGAACATCAAAACTGACCATAGTTTCATTGTTAGTAAGACATAGGTCTTTTATCTCACTGACAAAATGGTATGAATCCTTCGTGTGTGCTCTTGTGTGTCCTCTGAGTGGTGATAGTACTTTTGCTAGGTGTTGAGCCAATTTGTAAGTTGGCGGATCGATCTGACTCACTATTGGACGTAATGGAGCGTTCTGTTTGTGTATTTTTGGTAACCCATACAACTTCAGTGGTTTTGCACACGCAGGTATTATCGAATTAACGTGTAGATTCAATTTCTCGGAGTATTTCTTTATTAGATCGCTAGTTGTTTTAAGCGTATTAGTTGTTTTAGCCTTTACGTACGTACTTTCATCCGATAAAAGTTGTTGTATTTTAAAATTGTTATCCGACGTATCCATTATAACCGTAGCATTACCTTTATCTGCGCGGAGAATCGTAAGATCTAGTCTGTTGCGTAAGTTTTTCAGTGCATTAAATTCATCTTTGGGAAGAATAAAGAAAATCAGTTAATTAAACGCGATAAAATCCGTAAAAATAGTTTTATTCAATGAGAGGATTTAACTTCACACTGCCATCTATGGGAAGCCACAAAATCTTTTTAACATTTCACACAGTAGCCATTTTCGACACTCACACACAGTGAACATATATGTAATGAACCGGAGCCCCTTTTTACTGGAAACGAAGCATTATTTTTAATTTAACATAGATGTATATTCCTATTCGCCGTAGTTTCTGCTTACCATCAGGTAGACTGTGTGTTTGTTTGTCACCCGTATTTTGAAAATTATGTATTTATTTTTTTCATTAGCTTATTTTTCTCAAAAATATGCAGTTTACTATTATTCTTCCCATTATACATTAATAGCCTTTTACACGGTTAACGAGGAATTCCAGTTTAGATCTCAAGGGCGACGACAATTCAACATTTTGACCCCTAATTAAGGCTAGATATAGATGTTTTTATTCCACTGCATCCACTACTCGTAGATTGGCAGTATGCTCGTTTTTACCCTCACTTCTATTAAGTTTTGAATTCAAAGCTTGCAAAATATCTTTCCAGGAATTTGTTCTTTGATATGCCCTGGTCCATATATATCTCAAAGGCTCGGCTAAAGGCGAAATGTGATTACAATTGGTTAAACTTAGATGTATTCTATTCATTTATAGCTAAACCTTGGTTTGACTTGTATTTTTCACTATAAATCGGTCGCCAGAGCTGCGTTTGTCAATCAGTACTGCGTGCAGGTGGCATTTGAACAAAAAGCATGCATGCTTTGCGTTCTCCTGACATCCCTGTATGTAGTAAAGATATATACCTAAATATTATTTTCACTCAGAGGCGAAACACTAGTTGTAAATTCCATAGTAGGCCGACAACGCAAGTTCGATCAGACCACCTTTTTGCATAAATGCGACTTTAACGGCACGAGTGTAACTCACTTTAATGAAAGTTTAGTGCATTACCATCAAGGGAACGAACTACTTATAACTTAAATTTGTGTGATAAGCTTAAACTTTACTATACTACATTCTCTTACTTCAGTGTACTTGGGTCTATCGAGCCGGATTTAAACCAATGACCTGTGGATCTCAAATATGGTCCGCAAACCAATTTTGTTGGATGCTTTATTATAAAATTAATACCTTATTAAGTTTACAAGTTGCGATTGATACAACTTAATATAAACTTAATAATATCTACTTTGCTTATCTAAAGCTTTCCGTAAACATAGTTCTTGTTTTATTCGTCAGTTCACGTCTAAACTTGTACAACTGGTTTAATTTATCATTTCGAGCCTGCGAGTTGGAGATAACTTGCGAAAATTGTTAATTTTCCTGACTCCTCTCAGAAATTCCTCCGGGTAAGTGGTCGATAATAGACTTAAAGAGATATTGTAACCGTGACTGAAGAAAATGAGTCTTACTTCAATATCTATCCTAATCTAATATGCTAAAATTGTTAGTAATACCAACCTTTTAAAATAAAATACATAACGGTTAAATAATAAGGAAAAAGGTGATACAAGTCAATGTTGAATCATTTTAAAATTACTATGCACAGATTTAAAGTCGCATTTTGCTATCTTATATTTTCTCAAGAAAGAATTAATAATGTACGAGCATATAATGCTTATACATTTTTTACGCGTACCTATATTATAATTAATAACAGCTATTTTATTTCATTAGCCTACTTAACTTCCGTCACGGGCTCATCTACCAATAATTTACACCAAACCATAATACATAAACTACGAAACAGAGTAGATAACTAAATATAACCGTTGTGTTTTCTTAATTTTTGCTCGCCTACAGGAGCTTACCAATTAAATATTGAACTAAATAATAGTTTGGCGTCAACTATTTACAATATACAACAATACAATTACAACCGAAGTACCATCAACGACGAGGTAATGTAAGATAGTTGTGTAAAACTTTAAATTTTCAATTTATGAAGCTTTTGTTGATATAATGTTATTATTGCACACAATAATAGAATAGAATAGAATAGAATACTTTTTATTCAATACATATTATTACATAATACTTCTTGTCTATAGTCAATATTTACTACTGGTTCGGAAAATATCTTTGTTCTGGGAAGAACCAGCAAGAAACCCAGCGGGATTTTTTAAACATATTTTACGTTACAATCTTACAATAATTTTGTACAATTTTTAAATGAATTTTAATAGAATCAGCATGGTGTGAAAATTTATTAAGTTATAAATTTCGTATACATTATGTTATACTCTGCTTGAAAGAAAAAAATTATTTACATTCGCAAGTATATGTAATGAAATATTAAGTCTTTTCAAACCAAATAAAATTTAATTTACTGAAATTATAAGACATATTTATATTTTTTTATATATAGACATAAATATCATAACGCAAATCTTTTCCCCTGTCGCTTTTCATGCGGAGGTTAACAAAGGTGTAGCCAAGTCCACCCGCAGTCACGTTGGTCGAAGCTCCGGAATTAGTTAAGTCATAAGCCAAAATGCCCTAAAAGTAAGAAAAAAAACATGTTTATAATCTAAAACAAAATCAACAATTAGAATGATATTATTAGTTCCACCTTAAACTTGTGGCGGCGCTGTCGCCGCGCCACAAGCGAAACACATAACTAACGCACTAACAAGCGCGATTTAGGCTTCGAAGTTTTTAAGAAGAAGAATTTAGTTCCTAAATTAAAGTAATATATATAGAATAGCTCCGAACTACCACTCGGAGCGCTGGCCGCTCCCTGGGCAGCACACCTTGCCCGGCGGGAGATCTCCCCTTTTCCTTCCACCGGCCACAGTGGTGACCCCGACGTGATATGAACACGCAACCAACAACCTTCGGAAACTACAACTTCAAAACCTTCGTCATCGTCCTCAAATACCCCATTCATTCGCTTCCGAGCAGATATTGTCTGCAGTCTTCACATTCTGCAAGCCATCTAGCTTTACAAAAGTTCATCGCAGTACTGGAATAATAATGCTTCCTGTTCCTTCAAGCTACTCTCTACGCTACAGTGTTCAGCACGGCTCTGAGCCTTACTGCTCGCCTCTGCTTCACGGCACTATCGCAGATTACTTGCCTTCTTCTCGACTCACCGCAGACTACAAGGCAATCCCTGGCATTTGCTTCGGATCATCGTTCTCACCGGCATCACATGCAAGTGCGTAGTACGGCATGCATTACACACCGGCATATCGTTTGCACCGGCATCACTTGCCCTTACGCACACAGCATGCATTCCCCACCGGCATTAAGGACACACCGGCAATTGGACTAGACTATCAACCTCCGGTCTGAGCAGGGAGTGATGTCGCGGCGCTGTCGACGCGCCACAAGCGAAAAATATCGATGCCTAAATCGCGCTAACAAAGTTCCGAAGTTAAAGCAGTATATATAGAATAGCTCCGAACTACCAATAGGAGCGTTGGCCGCTCCCCGGGCAGAACACCTTGCCTGGCGGTAGATCTCCCCTTTTCCTTCTACCCGCCACAAACTAATACCGTCTTATTATAAAATGTGATTTATTGACAGTTTCGGTTTAAACAGTGATTTAACCTCTCTCTATGTCAAATTTCATACTTTAAGTCGCATTCTTCATTAAACACAGATTCTAGTTTTAGCGTGAGACTGATTATAATTTACTCTTTGTAATAAGACGATAGTAGCGCTGTAAAAATATCCACTACCCCATACCGTGAGTGTTGTAATAGGCAACAGAGGGAAACTGAAAGAGGTGTTGGACATCAACACCTTCCTAATATCAACTGAAAATAGTGAAAAACTGCGGTTGTCAACCCAAGCAAGCCAAGCATTTGAGAGCTGCCAAGCAAAATTGAGAGTATTATAAATCAATTTAAACGGCACATCATAAGCTTTAACGTCATATTTTCAGAAATGAGATATCTCTCTTTAGTCAAAAATTATTCGTAAATACAGTCACGGAAATGACGATTTTTATGAAAAATGTGAGGAAGAAATATACTGAGTTTCATTAAGATCCGTAGTGAATGGATACATGGAATCACCAAAGCGATTCGATAATATTATTAAGGTTATTCGGATTAAACAACACTCATATTTTTACGGAATTATTTCTTCAGTGTAAGGAACTATATGTTGCTGGAGAGCCTGGGTAACAATTTTTGAACTTATCAAAAGTAATATTTTTATATCACAAAGAAGAAAAATTCAATGAAAATTCTTCGCTACAGTTGTATCGTGTATTTACAGTCTTTGTGAGATTGTTAATGAATCGGTTGATTTAGCCAGTCGCTTATATGTTGCGTACAATGTATATGATGACTACAAAAAGATAATAATTGGATACACATGACGGAGTACAGTGCGCTATTTGGCTAAAATCATAAAATATACAAAATGCTTGTATAACTTGCAGACTAATGAGAAACTTGACTTTCATAACCTTATTAATTTGAAAAACAAAAGAGGTCTTCGCGTTCCGCCTAAGGATATTTTTGATATATGTGTCATATGTGAAACAGTTGTTATAAAATTATTGGTTAAAAATTTTGTAAATACCGATGAAAGTGTGCGTCATGTGACGAACAATTGGGAAAAATTTGCTGTTATGTCTCAAGACCGTTATGGTAACAATCATGGAACAAAAAAGAGCATACATTAGATATGTTAAAACACTACATCTCGTATGGCAGTTTCTGCGAGTTAGTTGCAGCCGGTTAAATATACCTATTTGTATTTAAAGTGTATTGAAATGGCAACCTGTATGCCAAACTTGGCACAGAAGACCAACCCATCAAAAGGTTACGTTTTTCCCAAGATCTTTCTTATATTCACTTTTTTGCCTACGTTGATGCCGATGGAGATAATAAAACTGATGAGCTTCCAAAAGCCAAAAAAAAACGCATTGAAATAGCTGTATCTCCGACGTTTACTCAACTTTTACCAATTTCTAATGTTATGCAAGACTTTCATTCGCCTACTTACACAATTATTAAACCTGAATGTTAGTCAGATTTAATTTCTTCTTTGTCCACGAATAATTGCATAGAATCTCCAATATTCACTACCCAAGAGTTAGTCCAAAATGATATTAGTTTACAAATAAGTCACAAAAAATAAGGCGAACAAACGCAGGGCTAGGGGGTAAAAAAATATAATTAAAATGAACCTTCTAATCATCGTAAACATGCAGCTAATTATCATAAAAAACACACTAAAGTTCACAGGCAGGCTGTCGTTGATTATCAGCGTGAACACCCTATAAGAGAAGTGTACAGAGTATCACAGATACGATATGAACGAAATCATGAAGGACAGCGAGTTGAAAGACGTATACATCCTTGGAATTCTAAAGCCTCTTCTGGACTGAGTTATGATAGTAACATAGCATACGATAGTGATAATACTGTTTTTTTTTTGGGACCGAAGAAAATCGAATCCTAGTGGTAGTGGTGTAAAACTCTCAAGTACAAGGATGAATCTGTGGGAATTTACTGCGATCCAGGAAAGGTCTATCTCTAACCTTTGCAAAAACTTCCAGATCTTCTTTACTGTTTGATAAAAAACCTCCGCTCTGAGCATGATCACCGCTCTGAACATGATTCAGCCTCATGGCTGGCATACGGAATTATAATATTTGTTTTCCAGTGACCTCATTTGAAGCTAAACAGATAATATGTTCTCTAACCAATGAACAAAGACATATCTATTACAAAATACTTTCCAGTGTCGACGCATGTGTAGGTGATATCTTTTTATTAGATGTTCCTAGTGGAACAGGTGAGAATCAATCGTGATATCGTCTTAGCGGTTGCATCATTCGGAATTGCTGCCATTCTGCTGGAAGGAGTTAAAATTGCACACTCCGCGTTTAAACTTCCTCTCGATTTGATACAAAACGAATTTCCACTCTGCAATATACCCAAACAAAGTAATATGGCAGAAGTGCTCCGCAAAACGAAATTAATTGTTTGGGATGAGAGTACTATGGGCCATAGTCTATGGCTCACAAAGGGAGTTTTGAAGGCCTAAATAGAACTTTATAAAATTTTAGGAATAATAATTGTCAAATGGGAGGAGTTACTGTATTGTTAGCTGGCGATTTCCGGCAGACTTTACAAGTAGTGCCCAGGGGAACGCGAGCGGACGAAGTTAAAGCGTGCTTGAAGTGGTCTCATTTGTGGCCTTCAGTGATAAAACTAACCATTATTATGAGAGTCTATCTAAGGGGAGATTTTACTGCCGGACAGTTCTCAGACCTGTTGCTTAAAATAGGAAATGGTGATTTCCCGGATCTGAATAATAATATAATCCTCCCTACAGAGTTAGATATAATTGTTCCCAATGTAGAAGATCTTATAGCTAAAATTTACCCAAACATTTATAATACTCACAATAAACCTTCAGAATGGTTATGCGAGCGTGCCACTCTAATACCAAAAAACGAACAAGCCTCAGTCATAAATGAAATACTTTTGAGATCATTCGAAGGGGTCGAATATCAATATTAATCCGTCGACTCACTGATAAGCGCTGATAATGACATTCATTATCACGCTGAGTTCCTGAATACACTGAAGTCTCCCGGTCTCCCACTTCACATATTAAAATTGAGAGTTGGCACGCCAGTTATGTTGCTGTGCAATATAAATCCACCAAAATTATGCAATGGCACCAGATTGCAAGTGAAAAGATTGCATCGCAATGTAATCGAGTCAACTATACTGACAGGTTGTTCTCGAGGAGAGTATTTATTCCTAAGATTCCTCTAACACCATCAAATTACCCCTTCGAATTCAAGAGAGTGCAGTTTTCTATTCAAGTCTGTTACGCCATAACCATAAACAAAGCTCAAGAACAAACTCTTCAGGTAGCGGGAGTAGACCTGAGAGAAAGCTGCTTCTCTTACGGTCAGTTGTATGTGGCATGATCCAGAGTAAGCGCACAGAGTAGCCTGATGATTCTAGCACCCGAAGGAAAAACGAAACCGCAGTATTTCTTTGTAAACAAAAAATATTGTTTAACAAAATACTGCGGTAGGTGTAGTACTTTATTGTCATGTTCGTTTAACCTTTAAATCAATACACTATAATAATCATTGTTATATTTTATAAGTATTCAAACATTTTAACATAACAATATACGATTATATTTTATAACAAAATTAATAACGTAAAAAACGAATAAAAATCCTGTTACAACTATTTTATTCTACGCGGACGAAGTCGCGGGCAAAAGCTAGTCATTACTAACACTCTTTGTAATGCCAATATAGATATCTGTATAAATACATTACTGTAATAACCAAATATATTAAATAACAGTTTATATGTAATTATACTTGCCTCGAAACAACACGATGAAAGAATTTTAAAACTAGATTAGTAAACATTTATAAATGAAAAATTAACAAAGTAGTGGCGGTGTAAGAATATCCAATAACCCATGTCGACCCATTGGTGTCGAAAGAGGCAATAGAAGGAAAGTAAATGGAAGATGGGCAGCATTCTCTTAGTAACAACCCAAAATATAAAACTGGTTGCTACCCACTTGCCAAGCCTGGCAACTAAGGCAAATACTCCCTATGAGACAATCTATGGGAGAGGCCTGTGTTTAGCAGTGGACTTTTAAAAAGCTCTAATGATGCTGGTTAAATTAAAAATGTAACTTCTAGAAAGTATTTATTGTACCTACCGTAATATATCGCCCGTATTGTAAACGATTATTCGGAATTGTAACATTTAAATATTCTATCCGTTTCTGGAACAAGTAGGCGCTGTATTTGACGGCCTTATGAAAAGCCAGTTCTCTTTGAACACTTGTGCCCATAAAAGTATGAGAACATTCTACTATAACTATGACCGTTATTAGAAGACCGACAATGAATAATTTCATTTTGACTTTCGACATTATACTGGATACAATATAAATATAGTCGACAAATATCAACGGTTTATAGATTACGCTAACACTCCTATGGCAATGAGCAGCAATACATTTACATATATACCCCTTTTGGATTTGATAAATGAACTATCTAACAATTTGTTTGATATCACGTAATTGTGGACCACATTAATGATTCATTATAACTATTTGCGTTTAGAGCGATAAAAATAATAACGACGATTGCAAGGCAATAATTACCAAGCGACATGTTGGGCGATTATACGAGTACATCATTGAAATCAGCAAAAAAATCTGCGTCGATATATCGTACTCTCGTACCGCTAGGAAGTTTTGTTGTCGCTTGTTAACTTAAACTAAAAAATCACATTTTCTCAGTTTTTGGCTACCAAGCGACTAAAATTTTTCCGATTTATGAATAATTTTCACTTGTTGGGTATTCAGTATTTAACTTTATAAACTTATTAGTTTTTGCCTTGACTCAAATTAATGCGGTTAATCATAAAGTATTTTTCCTTGCGGTATCTAGGATATAAGCATTACTTAAGAAATTTTACCGGATGATTTTTTTTTTGCGTCATTAAAAATTTTTTAAACACTTTAATGATGTACTCGTTTTCATTTAGTATTTTTTTTTCCTAAATGCAATGGACTTAAAGAAGTAATATAGTAGTATTTATCCTGCCTAAAAAGGATATATTTTGTCGTTTGGTAATATTTTACCTGCCGTTTTTCTTTTACTGATTTGTTACTTAGATAATTATTTCTGACATAAAATTTGTTGTATTTATTTTGTTTTGTCGCTTATACGCACTCTAAAGCAGATTTTGAGTGGCTGTTGGTAACAAAATATCTATTATTCATCACCGAACTGTCGCATAGGCAACCTAATAATATGCCAAATACACCTTATAAGTAGTAACTAAAGCTCTGTATTGTTAGGACTTGACCTTAATTGTGTTGTTTAATTGACAGTTTATCAAAAAAAATTCACTCATGTTGTTTTGATTGTGAAACGTTTTTGTAATTTTGGAATATTTTAAAACGTTGATAGCAATTTTCTTTCTATATGAAGTTGTGTTTTACCTTTCCATACTGATTTTCTGCCGACTTCCAAAAAGGACACAGTACTCAATTCGACTGTATGTCTTTTTTATGTGTGTTACCTCATAACTTTTTACTGGGTGAACATATTTCGATGATTCTTTTTTTATTTGAAAGCTAGTACTTCTCGTGTGGTCCCATATGAATTTGATCAAGGTCAGACCAATAGTTTTTGAATTATTTTTAATAACTTATATTGAAGTCGGCTGTACAAAATTTTTAATTTTAAATTATGAAATTACTTAAATTAGTAACAGTATCAGTATAAAAGTAATTATTTTAGTTTATTTTTACAAACAGTTCATTTAAGCTATCTTTACATGGTAGAGCCATGCTGTTAATAGTATAGTTGTAGCACGAATGGGTCGGCTCGACCCGCGAAAGACGACGCTTTCACAGAATACCAGCGTAAAATAGCAGCTTAATGCTGCTGTGTTTCGTATGGCGAGTGTAGAGAACCGGAGACCCATTTTACTGGAAAAGAAGCATTCTATCTTAGTCCTCACGGCTGACAACGCATCTGCATTTTAATTCGCAAACGAAGATAGATGTAGATGTATATGGGCCACAGCAACCACTTACCATCAGGTAGGCTGTGTGCTCGTTTGTTACCCTTATTCTATAAAAAATATATTTTAAGCCAACGACAGCTCACAATCTAGATCTAGATGTTATTAACAAAGGGTTAGTCACTGGCCTAAAACCTCTATCAACCCGCACTATTGGTGGATTATGCTCTAATTAATCCCTCATCAAATGGATACCCATATTCAGTAGTGGGTGATTGTAGATTACTTTAAGGGTAGATTACTACTGTGATGACGATGTCCGTAGAAACCCTTTGGCAGAAAGACCTTGATTTTGTGTAGTAACACCTTTATTCATTTTTACTTGTTCAAAAAATCCTAGACTAAACTTATTTTATTTGTACTATGATTAAAGTTGTCTGGTAGAAAAGTTTTTTGATTTCCATTTAGATTGTTTTCAAAAGAAAAAGAAAAAAAAATTTTCTTTTTCTTTTTAACCCCCACACTAGGATTATCCCCTGTGTCGTGGAGGCAGTTTACTTACATAAATTGCACGAGGACAAACATCCAGACCCGTAACAACTTTTTGTAGGCCATTCAAATACTTCCGTGCGGGATTAGAACCCGCGGCCCCCAGTGCAACAACTCTTTGCTAAGCCACTGCGCAACGGAGCATTTACCTATATGTCAAACATGCGTTACTTCTGGATGGGTCATTTTTCCTCAAACACAATTATAATATAATGAGGTTTAATTAATTTTATTTGTTTTATAATAAAATTTTGATGTCGATAAGTAACATTTACCTGTTTGTGATTTTGATGAAATTATTACTAACCGACACTATTCCATAAAAAAAATTAATAATCTTTAAATGCCATCTTATTAAGCCTTTAATATGCATTTAAAATTCGCTGAAATCTAGTAGCTATGACTAATAGGCGATTTTTTACTATTTATACCAAAGATATTCGAATTAAATGTTTTTTATTTCTACGTACCTGTATATAGCGGCCGTTTTGTAAACGATTATACGGAATCGAGATGTTTAAAGTTTCCACACGTTTCTGGTAGACAAGTGCGCTATGTTTGACCGTCCTTTGGAACGCCATTTCTCTTTGAACACTTGTGCCAAGAAATGTATGAGAACATTTCACTATAACAAATGCAGCGAACAAAAAACCGATGATGAAAAATTTCATTTTGATTTTTGACAATGATTTATGGACTATGAACACGTTGGCAATGGCAAAGAATAGCGGTACATTTATATTTATTTCTTTCGAGTTTGTGTAAATTAACAACATTTGAATTTATTTCATAACTGGTTTCGTAATAATGCACCGATTTAATGACATTTTAATTGCAATTTCCGTTATTCCGTTAACGGTAAACAACGGCAGCAAGACAATTAAAGTATATATTTGACATATTGAATATATAGTATTGCGCTGTGCCCGAAGCACTAATCTAGACTACCAAGAGAAACAAATGCATCGGAAGAGAGGTAAAGCCAATTGGAATGCCACCTGCGTTTTGACAGCTTCTCATCTCAGAGTATCTCGTTGAGCCCTGGCGGCATCAGAGTCGGCTGAACTGCGTAAGTGGCGCAAGTATGAGTCTCATTGGCTGTAGGGACTATCTGTCCGTGGGGTCCACGTGGGGTGAAGTGTCAAAATATACTGAATTCGCGAGTAGTCATCGCCACTGGAGGTGAGAGGGCTGGATCTTTTCTCGCTCAACGTATAGCTATTCGGCGAGGAACTGCAGCCAGCGTTCTTGACACTATATCGCAGGGGTTAGGAAAATGTGTACAATTTAAGTGTATATAATATAATTTAAGTGTGTATATATAAATAAATTATAACAAAAAAAACTGCAGCTTTGACTGTTTTTAGCTACGAGTATGAATCATTGTCGAAATCATTTCGTATTTCCCTATTTCGCCGTCCAACCTTTGGTGCGGTTTCAATTTTTTGGTAAGAACAACACAAGAAGAGTTTTGGCTTTGTTCGTATGTTTTTCTTTTATTTTTATGTCTGGTAGTTAATTTATTAAAAAAAATAAACCTTTATTATTTTCCCCCACAAATTGTACATTGCATATTTTATCTTTTAAAAACATAAATATTTTTTTATAAACAAAACAAAGAGTGCATAAATTTGTGGGAGACGGGAGTCCAAACTAGGATACCCTGTGCTATGGATATCCCGGCTCCCCATTTAAGATGATCAACTAGATTTTTTTTTCTTTTTATTATATACTAGCTGTGCCCGCGGCGTAGCTCGCGTATACAGGTTTTACATAAACAATTTGTCGTTTAGGTAAGAGAATATTAAACGATTTATTTCATTACTGTATCAATAAGTGGTAACTAAATAAATCATTATCATCAAAGTTCTAAGTCGTTTATGATAGAGCTTCTGTGTAAACGACGTGAGAAGTAGGCTTAGCCGGGGTGTACACTAAAAGGTTACGGGGGCTACTAACGCGGGAAAAAGCAACATAGAGTTGGCCATGTGCAAAACAGTCAGTACTGAGGTACACTCCTACAACGCGTAAAGTTTGACCTTGTGCTTTATTTACGGTCATCGCATAACACACGCTCACTGTAACTGGGAACTGAACGCGCTTAAAACTGAAAGGAAAGTTACTTCTTAATAGAGGGTTTTTGGGCAGTGCTGCCAGATAAAATAAAACTAATTCAGCTCTAGGACAACACGAAAAGCGCTAGATTTCATGAAAACAGCGCTTTAAAAAAGCCCTAGATTTCGCGCTAAATTAACTACAAAAAAAGTTTGTGTTTTTTTATATAATCATAATAAAGAAAACAACATTAAGTTTTTTTCTGGCAATATTTTTTTGATGTATCAATACTTCACAGGACATCGACTTATAATTATGGCAATTGCTGTCAACAGTAGTTAGTACTGTACGAACAATAAAAATGTCATTAATTGTTTTAAAGTGCAATGTATTTCGCAACTTAGTTTCAGATGTCAGCATCTGATTGCGGTTGCTACACAGTTTCTATGTGTTATAACTTCTAAGTAACTTTTAACTTAGCTGTGCTCTAAGCAACTGACTGAAACTGAATAAAGCAAAATAAATGCGTTGCCAAAACCATGAACAAAAACTTTAATAAAGGGGATTTCCCCGCTTATAGTCGTCGGTAAAAAAATCAAGTTGATCATCCTAAAGGGGAAGCCAGGAGATCCATAGCACAGGGTATCCTAGTTTGGACTCGTCTCCCATGCTCTTTGCTTTGTGGAAAAAATATGTTTGAAAAAGATAAACTGCAATGTACTATTTGTGGGAAAAAATAATAAAGGTCATTATTATTATTATCGGTAATAT